GATTTTGTTGCCAAATTTAGCTCTTTATCCTAAAACAGGATTGTTTTCAACCTATTCTGTAGGCCGGTTATGCACAATGGAAAATATTCAGAATAATAATAAAAATAAAAAAAACTGTTTCATGAACTCCAAAATGTCTGTGATGTTCTAGTTAGGAATGTTAACACAACCTAAGCTCCGACGAGAAAAGTGTCTGCTCTCAGCCACAGAGATATTAAGTCTGGTGTTCAGTAAAGGGAAAATAATAAGCAATATTATCGTAGATAAATACCACCCTTTACTGGAAGGTTCTCCCCTTCTGAGAATTTTCACATCTGTGGAAAGACTAGAGGGTGCTGCCATGTTTGAGAAAATAACACTGTTATTCTAAAGCTATCATGAGAATGAGATTGGTGGCATTAAGAGATTACAGTCAGAGGAATTTCCCACTAATACAGACATTTCAAAGCTCAGCAATGAGATGAAATACAAGACTCATGGGTAAAATCCTAGGAAACAATGGGTATCAAACATTCTGAGGTGTTAGACAGATCATGACCTTCCTAAGTAACCGGTAAGTCCAGGACTGGCCTCCACACTCCTCGCCTTTCACGACCCTGCTGTGTCCCACAACCTGCTTATGGATTCTTCCCCTTCTTTTAGATACAAGCACACACAACTAAAATTCAAAACCAGCATCAGGATCTTTATTAAAATTGGGACGCATACTCACTGTAAGAAACAGAGAAGATTTTTTTTTTTTTTTACAATTTATTTTTATTTTATGGGCATTGGTGCTTTTACCTGCTTCTATGTCTATGGAAGGGTGTTGGATCCCCTGGAACTGCAGTTACAGACAGTTGGGTGCTAGAAGTTGAGCCCAGGTTCTCTGGAAGAGCAGTCAGTGCTCTTAACCTCTGAGCCATCCCTCCAGCTCCTACAGGGAAGATCTTAAAAAGGAATCGCTTTCCTCTAAAGGACCACAGCCCCATCTCAAAGGACTGATTGTCTTTCCATATCATTTTTTTTCATTCAAAGGTTTTCTTAGCTCGTCCCTGTCCAGCTTCTTCTATCTCATGCTTACTTATTGACTGCTGGTGAAGAGAGGACAAGGTGAGCTAACAGCGTGTTACTAAAATCCCTGAAATTTATCCCTGAATCTCTTCTACTCTGAAATGTATACATTTAAGAGTATTTGTTCAGGGGCTGGGCAAACGGCTCAGTGGTTAAGAGCCCTTGTTGCTCTTGTAGAGGACCCAGATTCGGTTCCCAGCATGCACATGGCGGCTCACAATCATCATCTAAGTCCGGTTCTATGGGGCCACCTGCCCTCTCCTGACCTTTGCTGGTGCCGGGCATGCGTATGAGTATGTGGTGCACACATACACAGGCATACACAAAATAGAAGTTTAAAATCTTTAAAAAAAAAAAAGGGTTTGGTCAGAGTATCTCAAATCAAATACATTCATCTTACATAAGAAAAGTCTTCCCACACAAACAAAGGCGTAGATTTCGTTTATTAAGGCATGCGCCCAGAGGCAAGCAAGCGTCCTGGGCTGCAGTGTATGCTTGTGGAAACTAGTGCATGATACAAAACCACTGAACACAGACAAGACGAGTATAGAGGAAAAAGGAGCTCAGGACACATAATCTCAAAAAACTACTTTCAGTGACACATTAAATGTGGGCAAAAGAACTGAAGAGAAACATTACCACAGCGTTGAACAGGTTAAAGATTCAAGAACTACATCAATATGGCATTTTATTATAGAACAGTGACGGATGTTTACGGAAGCCAGCATCACAAGAATTACACGTAGTTCATGATTCACCGTGGAGTGTGAGGAGGAGGAGGAGGAGGGTGGGGGAGGAGTGGAAGCTACGCCACTCACAAGGAAAGCAGGCTGCTGTTCACACTGAGCTGACAGACGTAGGCAGCATACACCTGACTGTGCTCTGTATGTTCCTATGTAACAGAAAGTGGGTGTCATTTTATATGCACATAGAATATGAATTCTGAGGAAGGATAAGTTTGTCCCCTAATGCATCAATGAGACCAACTGCCTCTCAGAAGCAGGCCTTAACTTACACCAGAGGGGCTGACTCTAAAGAGAATGTTGGCCTTTAAGAAACAGAATCATAGCCAGGCAATGGGTGGCACACGCCTTTAATCCCAGCACTTGGGAGGCAGAGGCAGGCGGATTTCTGAGTTCGAGGCCAGCCTGGTCTACAAGGGTCCCCTGCACTTTAGAAACACTGCATGGCCAGCCTGGTACTTCACGGAGCTAAAACCCTGCATTCTTGACATTTGTAAGAGAAAACAGTGTAATTAGTGAGAGACAAGAACACAGAGGGCCAGAGACTTGAAACCCCGAGAGACTTTTCTGAGTTATTGCCATCTGCGTGTCTGTACAAGTCATTTAGTTTATAGAAAACCGTGTCTAATGTGTGATACCAATGTTTTATCTCTTAGGCCATTCCTCATTTCTGTCATCCCCATTTGTCAAGAGTCACCCTTGTCAAGAAACACTCGTTGTCTGATCACTGCTACAACTTGCTGACAGATTAGGGAGAGTAATGGAGTGTTGACAGACTGTATAAGATAACCCCAGGAGATAAAGAATGGATAATTTGAGATATGAGTCTGGGCTCTGTACCGAGAGCTTCTTAGACTACATTAAAATAGAGTCATTACAACTCAATAAAAGAACTATTACAAATGTAAATTTCAGTATTTACTCATTTAAGCAAGGTCACACTATTAGCTCAGGCTGGTCTCACTATTAGCTCAGGCTAGCCTCAAACTCACCATTTCCTTTGTCCTCTCAGGTGCTCTAGCTATGTAAAAGTACGCTTACTGATAATAAACAGGGCTAAATCTTTGAAAGCTGAAAAGTAACGAACCTCCTGCTTTAGGCTACAAAAATAACGTGTAAGCAGGTGAACAAGTCACAAAGAAAACAATGGTTTTCAGACCTCAAAAATAAAAAACAACACACCATGGGAAATAACCTCTTACAAATTTAACAAAATGGCAACTTTGTATCAGCTTTGAGAAGACTGTTAATTTCTGTTTCTGTTGTATGTATGTATGTATGTATGTTGTGTGTGTGCAGTGCCCACAGAGACCAGAAGAGGGTGATGGGGCCACCAGGAGTTGTTAGTTGCCTGATATGGTGCTAGGAATCAAACTCTCAACCTCTATAAAAGCAATCCTCACTCTAAACTGCTGGGCCATCTCTCTAGCCCTCCCCCCACCCCTGGTGAAAATGTATTACAAAACTAAACATACAAATCCTAAGTATTCCCCCATTTCACTTGATTCAAAAATATAAATGTAAAAGTGCTGCTTATAATTTAAATTTTGACTAGAATTAATTTTGTAAAACATACTTGATAGATTATCAAATTTTATCTTTGTTTCCCAGACAATAATAAAAATGATGGCTTTTTTAAAAAATAGAAAATACGTCACAGGGCTAAGTTGGCATACAACTTTAATCCCAAAGGGTGGGAGGCAGAGGTAGGCAGATCTCTGTGAGTTCAAGGCAAGCCTGATCTATAGCCTGGTCTACAGTTCCAGGACAGCCTGGGCTACAAAAAGAAACCCTGTCTGGAAAAAACAAACAAAAAAGTCAAGTCAAAGCAAATTTGGCCATGGTCTGACAAAAGGAAATTGATTCTGTTTGGATTAATTTACCCATGGTACATACATAGAAGCTACTCAGTCCTATATTAAAGAAGTGTGTTTCATCATACGCACACAACGACAGTCATGAACATACAAGCTCCAGCAAACAGAGTGCTTTATATGGGTCAAAATGCTTAGGTGTACTTGTTCAACTCCTCCCACACAGGCCCTCCCATCCTCCCCCGGATCACAGATCCCAACAAAAATAAAAACACAATTACATTTTACTTGTGCTTGCTCGGTATTAAAGCTCAGAACCCCTACTAATAAAAATGTCTTACACCTGCCGGGCGGTGGTGGCGCACGCCTTTAATCCCAGCACTTGGGAGGCAGAGGCAGGCGGATTTCTGAGTTCCAGAGTTCGAGACTAGCCTGGTCTACAGAGTGAGTTCCAGGACAGCCAGGACTACTCAGAGAAACCCTGTCTCGAAAAACCAAAAAAAAAAAAAAAAAAAAAAAATGTCTTACACCTATTAGTAGGTTCATGTGGGGTCATAGCGGTAGACAACCTCACAACGTGGGCAGGGCTCTTGTAAGATGGACAGAGAACCTGACTCCAACTCTGACAAAGAACACAGCAAGATGAGCATCTGCAAACCGGGTCTCAGAGACAACTCCTGTCCCCAGCGTGTATCATTGCTACGTTACTCCCGCCACCGCCACCGCCACCGCCACCACCACTACCTCTGTCCCCATCCCTGCCTCAGATGGGCTGGTTCTAGTCATCAACTTCAGGCCTCTACAAACTTGAGGAGGTAAACTTATTTAAGCCAACTAGTTTAAGGCATTTTGTCATGACATTTCATTGTCCTTTATGGTACGTGTGTAACTACACGTCCGCAACAGGTCAGAAACAAGCTGGGGCTGACTCGCACTGCAACTCTGTCTACAAGGGAATTTCTTTTTCTTTCTTTTTTTATTTTTTTAAAGTGTTCTTTTTAAAAAAAAAAAAAAGATTTATTTAAGTACATATTTTATACATATGGATGTTCTGTCTTCGTGTATGCACACCGGAAGATCCCACAGGAGTACAGTCAAATGGGGAACTACAGTCAGAGATCCTTTGTGAGCCACCATGTGGTTGGTAGGAATTGAACTCAGGACTTCTGGAAAAGCAGCCAGTGCTGCTAACCGCTGAGACATCTCTCCAGCCTCAGAAATTATTTTTTTAAGACTGCAATATTAAGGTTCTGAGGTGGTTTTTTTGTTGTTGTTTTTGTTTTTTGTTTTTGCTTTTGACAAATTACTTGAAACAGCTCTAGTTAGTTACGCCCGCTTGGGACAGGCACCAGATCCTTGAGCCTGCAAGTCACAACACAAAGATTCTTACCTTTTGTATCTGCCCGGAACTGTTCTCGACGGGTCCTGTAAAGCAAAATATGAGAAATCAGCTGTGCATGCGTGTCAGGACACAACTACAGCCCGCAGGGAGGCAGAACAGTTCCTGCCCGGGAGAGCTACGGAGAGCAACCACACTTGCTCTTCTCAGGGCACTCTGCCGAGCAAACGGAAAGAACCCAAACCAACCGTATTTTAACGTTTAATATTGAAATACTTTTGGTTATGAGCTTAGCCCTTAATGGCTTAGTCATCCATACCTCTAGCCAGAAATATTTTAAAAGCTTAGAAAAACACTCAAAATAACTACAGTACTTTCCTTCCTTCCTTCCTTCCTTCCTTCCTTCCTTCCTTCCTTCCTTCCTTCCTTCCTTTTCTTTTTTAGTTAGGGTTTCACATCTACAAGGCTGGCTTGGAATTAGCTAGGGACCAGATGCCTTGCACTCGAAAGGCCTTGA